TAATAATAATAATAATAACTGAACAAATAGGACAATAGTTACATTACAGCTCCCATGAAAATGTATTCAATGCGTTCAATCATATTGATTCGACATATCAATAGACACAATTACTTAAACCCTCTACGTTTGACAACCCCTACCCCAGAGCTTGCCCACGATTAATCAGTCCTTCCATCATATTCGTAAGATCATAATCAATAATCAGGTCGATAATCATAATTTTCAATAGATGAAAACTTTTCCACAATACAATTATTCATTTCCACAATTCAAACATTTTTCCTCCAATTTTTTCCTCAATTCCATTTCTTCATTTTTTTGTTCGTTTTATTTCAATAAACTTTTTAATTAAGTGGAAACAGTATTTTTTTATTGAATTTCGTAGGACCGTGGACGCGCAAGAGGACCGGAGACTCAAAATTTATGCCAGAAATTAAATTTTATGCTTTAAATTCTCAATCATATATTATCACAGTCAATCACCTTCACGTCATTCATTTTTTAGATTTTGTCTTTTCACCAGCATTCCCCTTGATCCCCTCCTTTCCCCCTCCCCTCGCCCACCAAATAATGTTTAATTATCAATCAACAGTATTGGTTAATTCTGGGAGAATTATTTTGGAATTGATTCCTCTATGGATTAACATTTTTTAATCATTCCTCTCTTTCGACTAGTAGGAACGATCAAGTAAGCAGGGGATTTTTGTCTTCATGCATTTCTTTCAAATATTGATTAAAGTTAAGAGCAATATCTTCTGATGCATTTTTGTAGCGATAAAAAAATGGAAATTGAGTTTGTAGTACGATTTTTTAAATGGGTTTTTGTCGTAGATTTAATATCGCCAGATTTTGTTGAATCTTTTCAATTTGCAATAACAAAATATAATTTCCATTGAGACTAGTTATAGATTTATGCGTCTGTTCATAAAGAAAAAATTATTTCAAGTTGATTCTTTTCATACAAAAAAAGGGAAAAGAATTAAATGAGTGAAGGAGAAAATTCCTTTTTCTCTCAAAGATTTTCAACGTGACAAATCTAAATGTAATACCTGATGTACGTCATGAAATCTGGTACAAATTATCGGTATTTGATTTTCATCTCGACTAGCTGTCAATTTATGCACTTGAGCAGAAAAAAAAATATATCGTAAACTATTTTCTTTCTCATGAATAAAGAGAAAAATGAGAGGAACAATAATTACTAAGGGCACACTGACTAGTTGTAAAAACTTAAAAAAAGGAAAATGGAAATTACAGTCCCGGAAAATATTCTCCATCCGATAGATTCCCCCACTTACTCCTGTCAATAAACAATTAATTTTTATGCGGTTAAAATTGAATATCTCTTGGTTCTGCGAAGCAACCTAATCTCTAGGTTTACCTTCATGTTTTGTTTTTAAATTGTCTTATACTCTTTTTTTTTCATTAGCCTACGTCGTTCCCATCTGGAACCCTAGGTCCTAGTGACTCCCAGGAGGTACCTCAGAGCGACTGATCCCTCAAACTTCATCTGTTTATAACATACATTGATAAAGAGCCCTTCCCTTCAATCAATCACTCTGTGGTAAATTCCTCTCGATAAGAACGCTTGTATCATCACGCAGGTAATTATGGTTATTATTATTTCATTGTGGTAGAATAATAAATGGGGCGTTTCATACGCTAGCGAGGTGAAGGGAACTCTTATTATTAACATTTCGAATTGTTACGGTATCAGATGACCACTTCGAGGGCTAACTTGGTGCATCCTCAGGCTCTCCTTTCCCACCTGCCCTCGAATAATGATCATTCTCCTGTCCCATTGTCACAAATTGTTGAGACAATGTTTGCAAACTCTGTCGAACCTGAAAACAAAATCATTCATAATCACTCTCGTCTTATAATATAATTTTCCCATCTTCAACTTTCTACTTGAAAAAAAATATTTGAAAAACTTTCTCATAAGAATTAAAAAAAAATTCATATTCCAGATTTTTAACTTAATTTTACAAGCTAATTTTTTAGTGTACTTTATTGTTTAATATTAATGGATTTTCTTTTATTTATAGGTGAAGAAGAAAATTAATGAATGGTAATTGTGAATTTACCTTGACAATCTGATCAAGATTCGTATTGAGATAATGCAGTAGTCGCTCCTGAGTGAATTTTTCGGGGGACGCCAGGGGATGATTCAGATACGCAGTGTGAAGTTTATCGATTCTGACCATCATGAGAGCAGCTGAGATATAGAGGGCTGCCAGTACTGCAATTAAAATTGCAATCATCGTGCTCGGTCTCAGTTGATATCTGAGAGTAGACCTCCATATTCCTACTTGAGCTGGCGATACTGTTGTTTGAGTTATCAGATCCAATCTGAAAATCAAAAGAAAATAAATCAATCATGTTCCAGATCTGCATGAACCATGAATCATGTCTTATCCGCCCATCTGACTTTTAAACGGCTTATTATTATCAATCATCATTAAATTGTAACAAAAGTTCTTCTTCAAGACAAATTGATATTAAATTATTCAGTAAAATTTAAGCGGAAATTTTTATCACGTAATACCACAATTCAATGAATATATTTGAGTACAAATTGTCACAATGATTTTTAGACTTTTCTTTTATCTAGACGAGTTAATGCATTACACTTTCATCATTTCAGATTTTGCAGATTGTAAATAGCAGTAAAAAATTAGATATTTCTTCTCTAATT